GAATGCACGGTTCCAGTTTGGACGAGGCAGTGAAAGAAGATTTGGCAAAAGGATTGATTCCTTTCCACGTGAGGCTTTCGCAAACTTTCCAAACCAAATCATTTGATAATCGAGAGTTTTGAAATCAGGTCAGTGCTACGCTGGGGACGACCGATTGCTGCTCGTTTGATGACCTGTTGTCCATTGGACCGGTGGCTCAAAAACACGAACTTTACATGCATATCGATGCTGCTTATGCTGGTTTGAAGCACACATTTTGAATTCAATATTTAGAAGAATCGATGATTCAAGATTGATTATTTATTCAGGGGCTGCGTTTATTTGTCCGGAGTACAGACATCTGCTGAATGGAGTCGAGTTCGCCGATTCTTTCAATTTCAACCCGCACAAATGGATGCTCGTGACGTTTGATTGTTCGGCTTTATGGTGAGAAGAATTTCGAAATTTTATCGAAAAGAGGTACGAATTACTGTTTTTTTTCCACGTGCCATACTTGGATAATAGGCTGAAAAACTCGTCAGAAATCGTTGATGCTTTCAACGTCGATCCGATCTACCTCAAGCATGACCAACAAGGTTTGGTGCCTGACTATCGGGTACGTTTTTAAAATTCTTTGCCAATTTCAGTTCAGAGAATTAATTTTTAGTTTCGTGATTTTTCATTTTATTTTGTGATAGCATTGGCAAATTCCTTTGGGGAGACGATTTCGGTCCCTCAAATTGTGGTTTGTGTTGCGACTTTACGGTGCCAAGCAGATTCGGGCTCATTTGCGAAAACAAATAGCTTTGGCAGAAAGATTTGCGCAACACGTCAAATCTGACGCGAGGTTTGACATTCCGGTGAAAAACCACATGGGACTCGTCTGTTTCCGATTGAAAGAAGTACGTATTCAATTTTATGTTTTATCTTTTTTAATTTGACCGAAGTGAATGCACTTCCTTTTTTATTGAATGAGTTCATTTTCCGTTTTCATCATGGTATCGTCGTATTGCATTATTTTTATGGGTTAATATTGCAAAAATTGAGGGTTAATTCGTTCAGATTCAACCCATCGAAATTTTACAAGTCGTTTTCCGTGGATTTTGAAGTCCTCAAACAAGTTTTGTTGATACTCATTTGATCACTTGAAAATCGTCTTCGAAAAAAGTGTTCAATTTAGAAGATAACCATTGGAAATGATTGCGCTGAAGCCTTGATAAATGTCGGATATTTAATTAATGAATTATTATCATTCAAATTCGAACGCATAAAATATCCTGGTGAATTGTTGACGAGTATTGTAAATTGAGGAAAACTGCCCTTCATCAGTACTGAACAGACACATCAGTACTTACTGAAAAACTGCTGCTTCGGAGATACTGTACTGTTGATGTTTTACAGTACTGTCCTTGACCAACCCAGCATTGGGCAAAGAAAACATTGCTTCCTGAAATCCCTGTCAACATTGAACACTTGGTCAAGTGCAATATAAAATTTACCTGCTTTCAATATCATCTGATTAAATAATTCTCGGACTTTTGAGTCGTTCTCTTCATCTTCGCGATCCTGGCAAATAATTGTAGTAAGAGCATTTTCAATTATGCTTTCAAACTACCTTGAAATATCTTATTCGGTATCAGAAAATTTCTAGAATAATTTAATGAAACTTATTCAACCCTCAGCATAACTTTCTCCCAGCTTAATTATTTTTAAATTATGTATTCTAATTATACTAATACGAATATAACCATAAAGTAGTAAATATTCAAAACGATGCATCAATGAAGCGTAATTTCACTTCATTTTGTAGAATAAAGGCTTCAGCCTTGAAAAATTATCTGTTTTTTTGTCCTTCTTGTACTTTTTTTTCGTGTAATCCATGTGAACGTTGTTGAATTCAAGGAGAAATTTCTTTTGACAAGACGGAGGGAAATAATTTTACAGTACTGCATATATCACCTCAGTCCTTGAAGGTCATTTGTCTGCAAATTTTCATGACTTTTATTTTTTTTTTTCAATTTTAATATTATGACTTCATGTCATGACGTAGGCTAGCAAACTTTTAGCTTTCGACGCTTCGTGGAGTAAAAGAAAATTATTCTGTTTTAGTGGCGACGGACCCCCAGTTAAATTTTTTTTTAGCTAAATCAAATGCGAATTTTTTCTCCACAGGAACCCAACGAAACCACAGAGAAGCTGCTTAATCTGGTGAATGGAAACGGGAAAATTTTCGTCGTTCCTGCGAAACTTCGCGGAAGTTACGTCATCCGATTTTGCGTTTGTGCGAGAACAACAGAAGAGAAACACATTGACGATGCATGGAATGAAATCTCCTCGTTGGCAGCAAAAGCAATAGAAATGTGCAAGAAATGATTCAGACTGAAATCAGAGCCCTTGAGAAAAGCAAATCCTTTGTCTGCTATCATGATATCATGCGATGCTTCATTCCACTGATTTTCGATGTTCGATGCCGAAGCTTGCATTTTAAAAGTTGTTGCTACCATTCAAAATCAATGCTTATGAAGCTTTTAAGCCAATCAACAAATATGAAATGATGAAAAATTATTTAACTTATGAAAACTATCTATGTCTACTGTATNGTTCCTGCGAAACTTCGCGGAAGTTACGTCATCCGATTTTGCGTTTGTGCGAGAACAACAGAAGAGAAACACATTGACGATGCATGGAATGAAATCTCCTCGTTGGCAGCAAAAGCAATAGAAATGTGCAAGAAATGATTCAGACTGAAATCAGAGCCCTTGAGAAAAGCAAATCCTTTGTCTGCTATCATGATATCATGCGATGCTTCATTCCACTGATTTTCGATGTTCGATGCCGAAGCTTGCATTTTAAAAGTTGTTGCTACCATTCAAAATCAATGCTTATGAAGCTTTTAAGCCAATCAACAAATATGAAATGATGAAAAATTATTTAACTTATGAAAACTATCTATGTCTACTGTATTTTGACGGTACAGTACTTTAAGGTACTTCAAGGTACTTCAAGGTCTTTTGTCTTCTAAACGTCATCCTGAATTAAAATGTGAAAAACAGTTGTTAGATGATAACGGAGACTTTTAATTATCAAAAATGTTTGCAACTTATTATTGTTGGTCAAATTGAAATTTATTCGGCACCCTTAAAATTCATCTGCTCTATTATCTCTGGTTTCTGGAACATTAATTACCAACATCAAAAGATTTTTCGAATGAAACAGAACAGTCAGATTTAGTGCATCGTCTTCAAGCAAATATTACAATTTACCTTAAAATATCCTGCAAATTCCAATGCTGTAATATGGCAGATCACGAGTCATTGATAACATCAGTCAATTCCTTTTTTCAATTGCCATTTCATTGAAGATGAGATTCGAGAGATCAAAAGTTAAACAGAAAATGATAATGCATCGCTCTGTAAAAATAAAGTTCATCACTCGTACAAAGAAATGCGCAACAATGTCATGACTGTATATAGAACCAATTCTTGTTTGTCAACTCTTTTTAAAATATTTTTAAAAGTCAATTTTATTGCATAGACGCGTTCATGTGGATTTCTAAAATGATACCCCGCAAAGCTAACAAGGTTTTGGCCAGCTTGCTAAAATCTTTCAGGCGGCACTTCGGTTTCATGGGACTGCGAGCTGACAAAAATGAATACAGTAATTGCAAAATTCCCTGCTGTAAATAAAGTATGTGTTGCAAGCATGAATTCCTGGGACATTCCAAGACTTCAAGGTCAAACAAAGCTTTCTCAAGTGTTTTAATGCAGTGTTCTCCAACCTTTGATCCGCGGACCTGCAATGTTCCGCAAAAGTTTTTTGATGGTCCACGGAAAATTTTCAGCATACTAAATTTATCAAAATTTGGGATGAAGTCTGTTCTCTTTAGCTAAAATTTTGGAAGGACAATGGCAGTTGAAATATCTGATGAAAGCATGAGTTGGCTGTTGTCCTGATAACACTTCAGACAAATTGTCACCTGCTGAAATAAATTATTTTAATTTTTCATTTGACCAAATGTTTCTCCATGATGCCCACCTTTCTAATTAATTGTTGAAATTCTTGACGGAGTTTTTCTTGTAAATACCTGCTAATAAAATTCAAGCAAAACTTTGGAGAGTCTGAAAAAAAAGTATTATGAAACTTTGCCAGTTCGCAGAATTTTTTGTTTAATTTTGCTGGTCTGCAGGCCCAAAAAGGTTGGGGAACACTGTTAATTAATTCACAAAAATGGGTGAATTGTTTCGTTCTCATCCTTATAATGTACATTGCGATGAACCGTTTGAACGCTATATACAGTACCGGAAATTGTTCAGCGATGAAATTTTTGGTGTTTTGAAATTTCCCAGCCCAGTCATGCGTGTTAAGGATTTCGAAAACGAAAGGTACTACACACAAAAAAAAACCAAGATTCTCGTGGAATCTCTCAAGCAGGACGCGTTTCTTCCACACTCACATTGCAAATCATATACTCAATCGCGAATCAGTGTGAAATAAGTCAACACGAACTCGGACCGTTTTAACTACACGAACCGAAAGCCTCGTCTTTACGTACGACAGTTATTACTTCTTTGTTCAGTGAGAGAAAATAACGAATAAGTAGCAACTAATAACAACTCTTTTAGACGAGGAAATAAGAGTCGGCCCTGCGATTGAACGAATGACGGCATATATTTTCCCCTTTATACAATACGTGGAAGTTTTCAAATACGAGTTTGATCATCCAGGCTTTAGCTTTGACTAATACCCTGCTTTTTTTAAATTTGCACAAATTTTGATTATTCGAGAGGAAACCTAGAGTTTTATTCAATTTGAATTTGAGTGACCTCATTTCTAACTATAAAAATCAATTATCCAAGATGATTACTTTGGCTTGCGCACTTCCACCCTCAATTTGGGAATGTTGGTGATATTGAGCCATAGGTTATTCAATATCGTGAAATATTTTCCATTCCTTTAAAAATTTCATTTCTTCTGAAAATTGATCAATGCCTGGAAGATATAATTGCTCATACCAGTATAATTGCTCATAGATAGGAATTCTCTTGCAAAACCCGATGATCTTGTTATCCAGGAAATACTCGGGTTTGTTTCCAAGACCTCTTTTTAAATTGCA